TTCGTTTTAATACCCTATAAATGCCATAGACACTGCCCATTCCTAGTACGATAGATAGCACTCCCGCGATAATCCCTCCCGTGCCTAGACTTTCCTGGCTGTCGCTTAAAGCTGTCCTTATCTGCTCCTATACGGAAACAAGTGTAATATTACTACCCCACTCCTCCACTTCCAGGCCTCCTGAGAACCATATGACTGATTCTAACAGAGTGCATATTCCTTCTCCTCTCCCCAATGAAGGTCCCTCCCTCTGCAGGTCCCATCTCCCTGACTCCTACCTGATGTCCTGCTTCCTCTATGCTCCTCCAAACCTCATCGATCCGGTTCCGAGTCTCCTCGACCTGTACTTCGTGTTGGGACCCCGTCGTATATTCTACTTCGTCATTCTCGTTGGGTTCCGCTGAAGGCGTCACTCTTGTACATTTGGTGTCCTTATCCCCTTTTCCAACTCCTGCAACAGCTTCCGTCATAATCTCATACAAATCCCTTCCGCTTAGTGAGAATCCCTTTGCGCCGGTTCTCTTCCCTCCTTCTATATCGAACCACTGCTCCATTATGGTATGGGCGATCTCCTCACCTGCCCATTCTTTAAACCTCTTGTATATTCCGTCGCAGATATTTACTTGCATAGCCTTCTCCTGATCTACACGTCTGCCACTGACTGTTAGGCCCACTTCTAATAGTATTATCCTCATTATATCCATACAGACCTGCAAAGTTTTCTGGTTTGGTTGCTTCAGGAACAATGACCTGTTCCCTCCTAATCCATGCCATCTCAGGATTGCTTTTTTTGGAATACAGCTTTCCCCGCTGCTGTTCTTCTGCTTATTTGACTTATAGTCATCATATGAACACCCCGTCAATAACTCCTTCCTTCCTGCTTGTGGGGTGATGCTCAATGTACTCAACCACATCTCGATATCTATACAAGCTCCTCTCGTTAATGAATATATACCCCTTTTATTCTTCACTTCCTTCCATCTACTGTCATCGTCATATACCCACTCCGAGACTGTTTCCTGTTTGTCGGCGGGTTTTAGGAATCTACAGATTCCCTCCTGAGAGGCTGTCTTCTGCTGGCAATATGTTTTCAGCTCCGTGTGGTTCAATAATTCCCCCAGATACCCCGGTAATACAGACGCCATCCTCTTCCCGTGTCTGCGGGTATTTATCCTATTGCTCCTGTAGCGCCTGTTGCAGGTAGGATTCTTCAGTTGCCAATAGGACTTAACTTAATCTATTCGTTATGACGCCTCTGCTCCTCTCCTATTCCTTAACTTTATGTTTTCTGGGATTCATTGTCTATAATCAGCCCCTGAATGGGAGGTATCACCCTTAATGGATGAACGCCTAAACAGTCGCCGCAGTATACTCTTTGGGATTATTTGTTTATTCGCACCTGTTCGTCGGCGTCCGTTTTCTCCTCTCACTTCCTTCGGGAGTGCGTATCCAGTCCCTCCCTTCCCTACTGTCCTATTCCTGTGGCTCGCCCCTGCTATAGAGGCGTACTATAGTACTGTATGGAGGTAGTCCTCGGATAGCCTCCTTGACTCCAACTCGGTATCGAATTTCTCCTTCTTTACTTCAATCTACCCCTCCCTGAATCTTCCCCCTAATTGCTTCCAGTTCGGGTAACCTCGACCTCCCCTAGGCTGAACGTCTTCATTCCTTACTATACGCATCATTCGTGAACACGATTCGGAATAGCTATTTGTTCTTAATTCGACGAGGGGTATGTTCCTTCCTCTTCTGTTCCTGCCAGAGATTCACCTTCCTTTGAGTCTTTCTTTCACAGGCTTCGCCCGAAAGGGCCCCAATTCCTTGCTCTCCCCTTCTTTCTTCTCTTCTCCTGATTTGGTTTATGTGGGAATGCACCTCCCGTAGCACTGGTTAGGGCCTTCCCTGAATTGAAGTTTCTACATTTCTTATACTATCCTTCCGCACGCCTCAGTGCCACGGTCTATTCGTCCTGATCCATGTGTTCAATCTTCTTCCTCCTTCTGCGGGCCAGTGCTTGATTGTCTTTTGCAGGTTCTTCTCTGGTCCGATTATTTTTTTCCGGCGCGTTGGGCTTAGACTCATGCAGCGGAGAGGATCTGACTTCTTGTTGGCTATCTCAACTGGGGGAGGTATTACTGATATTTTCTACATTGCTCTGCTTTGATTTTCTTACCCTTAGCGGCTAGTTCTTATATCTCTTATACCCCTTTAAAGGGCAGTCTGGCTCTATTACATACGGATAGGCACTTCATCAACTCCCGTACTCCAATTCAATTACTAGTCAGTTGGGGCCTCTTTTTTTTCTCTTCAAGATTAAACGCCACTCTTTTCGGAGCGGGAATTACCAGAAAACGCTAATCCTACTTAGCCTTCATCTTACGAGTCTGTATGTCCGCCTCTTGGTTTTCATACTGGGTTTCCTTGATGATGCACTATTACATGCAACGGACTAATAAGCCCGTGGTTGAGCCCAAACCTCGTCTTGGCACCTCGCCTGTTATTTCCATATACCCCCTGACACAAATATCGCTTGCCTCAATTCACTCTAATTGCCTATAATGACTTCCTCCTCATACTTGATCTTATCTCCTTATCCAGCGACCGTTGATCTTCTGCAGAGGGACATTTGGCACGTGCTCCGGAGTTATGCCCAAGTTGTAATCCTTCCCTGGCGTACTCCTCCGCTTCCTGTCCGCCGTACTGTAATTCCTGGACTATTCTGCGGTTATTCCCTCTTCCAGTCATTGCCTAATTAATGCCTTCACGCCTGGGGCCTCATTACGATCTTCTTCATTTTGACCTTAACGTTTAACTCTTCTCCCTAAAAGTTTGGGCTTCTGTCCAGGATTATTTCGGTGGTCAGGAGCTCCTCTCTTCTGGAACTTCTTGAGCCTCTAAGTTGTGGAGCCTCCTCTTTGCTAATATATACAATTCCGCACGATCCCTGTCTCTTCTGCAATATTTATTTACCAGCGCTCCTTTCTCTAGAGAGTATATGTTAATTGGTACCCTTTGTCCCTGATTCGGCACCATTTTCTGTATATTGTTATATCTCTTTAAGTGATACCTTATTCGTACGCTGCTGAAGACTCCCCAGTTCTCTTCCTCCTAGGTTCTCCTTGTACCGCATCTCTTTTCACAGCCTCTTTTTGACCTCTTAAGGCTGCCTACATCGCGTAAGGGCGCCTCTTTGTGGTAGGGGGGTTGCGGGGGTTGGAAGATTTCAATGGTTTAGTACTTAGCTCTGCTGTCTTCAGATCTATTGTGACTGCCGCTGCTTAACCGTAAGATGTCAGGATCACCCGTCCTGTTTCTCCTTTGATCACTCTTTATCTGTGGGGCCAGAGTCTTCGCCCTTATACTTATTCCTTCGGTCTGTTCCTTGTATTCTTGCTTGTTCAGTAGGCTGCGCTGCCTGTGGGGAAATTACTTCTGCTTCCCTGGTGAGGGGGTTTCTGTTGCTTCTATTACACGTGTCATCCATTATCTCAAGGGGGGCCAATTGGGAGACCTCTAACCCTCCACATCTGTACTTTCATACTCTTGCGGATTCCTGTCTTCTTGGCTCCAGCTTCCGTATTTGGTAGGGAGGTCTTGACTAGATTGGATATTCTGCTCGTATTAATCCTCTTGGACTCTACCCAGTATACCTTACTGCTATTTTTGAGGTGCCTCGGGTGGGATTCTCTCTCGTTTGGGCCTATATACAGCTGAACTTAGGAAACCTTGCGTGTTGCTGGCGTATTTTCTAAGTCGCTTCAGCTGTTATACTGATTCCTTCTGGTCCTGTATTGGCATTTTGGTTTTATCCACTCTTATAGGACGCTGTGGGCATTATTCGTTCATCCTTCTTAGTCTAATTAACACAAATGTCCCCCCCAGGGGGGGGATTAATCTTACTCTTAGGGGCAAGGTATATCCGAGACGATTTTCCTTCTTCGTTTTGACTATAATTTCGGCTACATTTCTTTCAGGAAGCCTATTAATAATTTTGGATCATATACTCCCTTATATAGTACTGAATGCACCTGGATTTTCTGGAGTTTGGTCTATCCACTTCCGATAATGGTTTCCTTCAAGTAAATCCTCTTCGTTCATTCAGTGCCACATTCTGCCTCGCCTTTTGGCCGTCCTCGGGAGTGCACTAGTCCAAACAGAGAATTGAATAAACCCCTGTTTAATTTTCTGTACGTGCCCTGTGACTTCTTGGTAACTGCCTGTAGTATATTCGCATTTCTATAATGGGCTTTGAGATGGATTGCCTTATCTCATACGTCAGTCTTCTTAATACATTAACGATAAAGGATCGGGCATTTTTCTGAAAGGGGTAATTAACTGTTGTACCTTCCTGCTTGGGGTTTTCAGTCTATATCGTGGCATTGGTGGGGACCTGTTTGGGGGGGTAAGCTTTTCTTGATCCATCCTTTACGCGTGCCGCAGTTGGTTTCATTATGGCTCCTATTTAGTCTGTCATTTTCTGTTTGAGCTTGGACTTTATACACACTAATCTAGCTCCTTTGCTCCAACCTGGATTTTCACCCGGGATTTTCCCTCCTGAATTTTAGATCCATATTTATCTGCTCGATTCTAACTCTATATTGTAACACAGTGAGTGCGAGTGTGGTGTTATGTCCCCTTATATCTCGCCGAGGTACCTTCTGTATCTCCCTGGGTTCGCTTTGGTCTTATACTTTTGTTATCTGTGTGAGTTTCTCGGTTGCATCTGTGGGGGAATATTCAGTGGGGCTTCGGAGTTCCTTCCCTGCTTAGTCCTCAGTATCTTCTTATGGGAGTCTCATATCTGTCTTAATTGTTCTGCTTATAGGACCGGTACGATATGAGGAAATTCCGGCTGACTCTTTCTTTAGCTCGTTGGCTTGTCGGGTTTTCAGTTTCCTCCTCCCCTTTACCCTATCTCCTGTTCTGTTGACTCCCCTTTCGGGAGCAGCACTACTCTCTCCTCCATTTTCCCTGCCTTCTGACTTCATATTTGGAAATCCTCTGGTGTGTAAGAGTTTTTCTGAGTGAATCTTCCAATTCATTTGGTTATTTGTCGCCGCCTAATTTGGTATTCCCACCTGTCCGGCCCTATTTCCTATTGATTATCCTCTTTAGGGTGAATGAATTAAGAGATTTTCCTTAGATGCCCCCCGCTGTTCTTTCCAGATGTTTTGATTCTTACCTTAAGATGCTTTTTCCTCTCAAGTGCAGAGGTGTTCAGCTCTTTGCTATTATTCAGATTCTCTTTTATTACCCTAGCAGGAGTTTAAGATACAGGCACGTGTTTAACTTCTGATTATTTTGCCCCTTCCCAGGCGCTCAATTGAATCCTCTGTTGTTTTCCTTCCTCTCTTGGGGGATCCCATATCTATTTTCCTGTACCCTAGTATTGAATCTTCGCGACCTTATTCCTTCAGCCTCGTAAAGGATAGGAGGTTCCTATTGCTACGTTTACTGGTCTCGGATTCCTTCGCTTAGCAGAATTTTCTTTCACTTTTTCACTGCGGCTTCCCTGTCTAGCCACCCCGGAAAGGGAAGACTCTCATGTCTTCTTCTGCTTCCGCTAAAAAAATACCTGTTCTTTTATTTTATAGGAATTTTTAATCTAATCAATCTTTAGGCTGACGATACTCTGTTCAGTCATCGCGTTTCGGAAAGGATCCCACTCCACCCCGTTCCAGAGTTGTTGGAATCTATCCTCCTCTAGAACCTTCGCCTCCCGCGCATAAAGTGCTTTCCTGGGGATTCACCTACGGAGCCGGATCTGTGACTGTTTTTTGCTCCACTTGCCTTAGCTTCCCTTAGGCTTCCAGGAGGCATCCATGTAGGCTTCGGTACGTTAAGAATATTCATTCCTCGGTAACTTCAGTTAATTTGACTATCCCTTATTTTATTCTGCTTGAGTTACCTGCTGAACTCAAGCAAATGTCTTTTCCTCTTTTATTGGCATCTTCTTGGGGTGTTTTAGTCTTATTTCACTTCTTTTGAGTTGTACTTATCTCCCTCTTGGCTGTTCCTCAGATTCCCCGCCTGGGTGTCCTCGGTCGCGCCGCTGATATCCTTCCAGCGAGGTCCCCGTACTCCCTGTAGCATACTTATATATATCATCTGTTTAAATCCTGGTATTTCTATTCTGGCTGGATTCTTGGTTTGTTCACTCTTATGCTCTCTTCCACTTTTTCCCCCTTAGCGTTGCACTTCCTGGGGGTGCCTGGCTTAGACGCCTGCTGCTGGAGTTGGCCCCCCCTCTTGCCTCCTAATACAGATGTTTTGCATATAACTGGTCCGGAGTCTATCAGCCTCCTATTTCGCCATGTTTCTTCTTCATGCCCCTTATCTTGTTTTTGCAAACCTTTCCGTTACCCCTCCTCCTACTCTTGGTGACGATGGTCTTAGATTCATTGGCCAAGCTCCTCTTATCCGGATAGGGAGTGGTTTTTTGAGTGGCCGTCCTTTTTTAACTTGACTGTTCAACCTTTAGTCTGCTTATCCCCCTCTTAGCATTCATGTGTTGGTTTCGTTTTATCCCCCTTCTGTTCCTTGTTGTTGCTGAGTCTCCCTCTTAACCCCTGATTCTTTCTGCACGAGCATATTTGAGTTCCTTCAGGGGGGAGCTGTCCCTAATGTCCCCTACATGCTTCTATCCTGGGGGCCGTCATATCCTGGGAGTTCTAGTCTTAGGAGCTTATTTAGTTCTAAAGGCTGCTCGGCTCCTTTCTGGTGTCTGCATTTTGATTCTAAAGCTTATTGTCCTAATCATCCTTTTTCCGGTAATTTCCTCCCTCAGATTACGCCGAGTGGCCGATCGTAACTAATGTATGCCCTCTTGTCCTGGGGCTTGTGCTCCCCTGTCCATGTGTCGGCTGTAAGCTGTGCTTTCCCTCAGTCTTCGTTTTATCCTGGGATTCCTTAGGTAATCCCTGTAGGCTCTGGGGAACCTCGTGGTTCACCCTGAATTTCTGTGGTCCCCTTAGCTGTTTCCCCTATATAGTGCTCTGTCCTCCCATCATCAGCTGCCTCTCAGTGCCCCTCTTGTTGTCTTTCAGCTTGGTTTCGTAATCGTGCTAATTTTCCTCATATTATATCCTGTTCCTTTATATCTCTTCAGCTGGAAATAAGGCTCTTCCCCTATTCTTCGGTGGCTCGTTGGGCCTCTCCCTCGTGTTCTTAGGGTTGGTCCTATGGGGTTCGCGTTTGTTCCTTACTCGTATCTCATCCTCCTAATTAATTGCTCTCCTATGCTAACTCTTACTGCCGCAGGTAGCGCTATCTCTCTCCCCTGCCATTCTAATCTACCAGTCCTCAGGATTGTCTTCCTTGCGCCTTATTGAACTTTTGCCTCCCCCTCCGCCCCTTCCTATTTTTTTGATTCCCCCGCTTTTGCCTTCTCTGAGACTGTCCTGTTGACTTCCTCTTCCTAATAATACGGTTACTCCTTACTGTGTCGTTAGGTTCCCCGTTCCTTCTTCTGTCGTCTCCTGTCGCTCTGTTATTTGTATCTAACCCCCCTTATCTTGTAGTGGGGTTGCAGAGTTCCTTCTTATCGTCTTATTGGGGGTGGTGCCTCCATTCTGCTCGTGCTTATATCATATGTTTGATGCTCTGGCTTCTCGATTTACGAGCTACCTTATCGTTTTCATCCACTATGAGGTTCTTATATACATATATCCCTACATCACTTCATAAGGACCACTCGCCCCTGTGTTGGCCTGCTGCTTATCAAAGTTTCCCCTTTTACTGTTTGGGAATTTGCCTTATTAACCTTCTAATCTAGAATTTCCCTATATATGCATTAGGGAATTCCTCTTCACCGGTCCATCCATATATATCTATCGTTATTCATCCTACACTTCTTGGGGTTTTTCCTTCACTTGCCCCTGTTTGATATACTAGTATTATCCTTACGGCATCGGTACGCTTATTCTTCGCGTTTCCCTGCTTGGAGATAATTTCCTAATAATATAGAATTCTAGCTAAGGTATTTTCTTTTTTCCCTCTGGGAGCCCGGTAGGCATCGATACCTTCATTCTATCCCAAGACTTAACTCTCAGGACTTGTTCTTCCTTGTCCACTTGACCGCTGGTCTTGCCTCGGCAACGTACTGCTCCTTGTGCTTTACTCTCCTCGTCCTTCATAATATTTGATTGTATACTGGTGAGATTCCCTCCTTCTGTAGAGCCATACTTTTCGTAAAATCTGGATATTTCTCTCCTGCTGCTGTCTCTACTCCTCTGCCTTCTCGCTCTCGCGCGCGGCCGGCTCATCTGCTGCTGCCTCCTCTAGTAAGTACTGTATATGAATTATCTTAAATATCCTGGTGTGATCCTCTTTCTCATACGTGTTGTTCTCTCAGATGGCTTATTAAACTTGCTTCACCGTCTACAGCGTCCCCTTCCTGGTTTAGTCGGTACCCCCTCCTATCTACTCCTTTCTGTGCTGTCACTCCCTCTTCTGTCCTACACTACATTGTCTCATCTATGGGCTTGTATGCCTTAATCTTCTTTATTATGGCGTAATTTCCATATTGCCTTTTCCTCTCCTTTTCTCCTTTGTTTCTTCTGTTCTGTCCCTCTGTTTCTGTTATTATATACACTATGTTCTATCAGTAAACTTTTAACCATTATATTATGCTTCTCCGCTACTTTATATCACTCTGGTTATCTAGCTCTTAGCAGCTCATGACATTTGTTTTCATATCCCCCCCCATGATATGCTATATAGCAAAGAAAATATCATATAAGCTACAACATTCTTTATCCAACTATTTAAACAGTTATTCCTTTTCCACCTGCAGCATAAATGTATATTATTATAATCTATCGAAACATAAATAGTCCTCTGTCTATTCAGATGATCCCCACAATAACTCCCCAATACATTCGAAAATTCGGGTTAATTAATCACGTGGAATAACACACAATATGCTTATAAAACTATTTGACTCCTTATTATTGGAGGGGATTCTTTTATTATTGTCTATATGCCCATATAGCATTACACTTAAAACTGATATAAGAACCATATCACTGCCAAAATGATCATGTATTTATTCACTTCTTCTCATTTTTCAGAAGAACCTAATAACTCTACGGTTCTAGTAGACCTGTTTATAGGATAGTTCCTTATTTTATTAAAGGAATTTAGGCATCGTATACTTCTATACTTGCTTAAACATAAAAGGGGTTATGAAGACCACTTAACATTCTACATCCTCCTGTGGTGAATAAGGACACGCCCGTTATAGCATCCTCTATAGTCTTAGATACGGAAAAAAAGGAAGTTATTGTATTATCTATTATACTTCATGAACTCACCACAGATTCAAGATATTATTTGTTTTTAGTCTTTTGCTTATATGTTAGAAAACAGGAAACCCTCGATTCCATATATCTATTTTGTCAGAGGGAAAGATTTGCTCCTCACATTATTCCTTATGTGTCACCCCTAATGTGTTTCTTGGTTCTATGCTTTGGGTGTAGTGTCTAATCTTCATCCCCTGAGTACCTTTCCCTGTATCCTCTCTTCTCCTGTTGTCTCTTCTGTATGTATTAATTATGTACCTTTCCCTTTAGGCATTTCCACTTTGACCATCATGTTGATATCTCCACTGGTTTGTGGTGTATCTATATGGTGTTACATATATCTCTCTTCGTTCTTTGAAGTAGATAATTTTCTCAAATATTTCAGTTGTATTCGTATATACATTCTATTATAGTCATCCGCTCCTATATGGTTGCTCCTCCCCCTTTTAGATTAACGATTCTTTAATATCTTATTTGGATTCTTATTCTTATGCTCATTTTATCCCCTTCTCTGTTTCGATTTTATTATTATTCCTAACTCTCCGTGACAAACAGCCCGTTCTATATACTACTATTCCTTTTATAATTTCCTTTTCCTCCCTAGAATTTAAGAAGTTTAATCTTTCATTTTACATAATTGTTATATTCTAATAGTACCGCATCCATCTGGAGTCCTGTTAAGAGGAAAATACTACAGATTAAAACAGGTGTGCAAATCTTCCGTAATCATTGTCTCTTAATAGTACCCGGATAATTATTGAATCTATATCTTAATAATATTGAGAGGAAATAATCACAGTTCACGACGTATTATTGTACTTACAGTTTTACTTTGCCTATAGAAAGTTCTTCCTATATATAAGCACCCTCGGTATGTTGAAACCCCTTTTAGTGATAGTATCCCTGAGTTTTCTATACAGCATGAATAGCCCCAGGATTGGTATATGAGTATTCCACGAATAAAATTCGTCTGGAGACAATTGTTTTCTCGAAATGGTATGATCGTTACAACTGCCGTCCTCCTCATGAAATTTGACTTCCTAAACCTTTGTATTATCTTAAACAATTTTCCTCCTCACACAGCACTGTTTTACATAGAATATTACCCTTGACAGAAGCTTATCCTCTAAACAGTTGTTGTAAGGCCGATTCTTACAGTTATTACAAATATATCGCAGGCATCTCGTATTTTTTATATATGTGTAACGCTTAGTGATTGGAATCCCTCGAAGAATACCGCTGTATCCACTCTATTATCTCTTACTAAATACGGCCCTTTAAATTAGGTTGCCGAAAACTCTAAATTTTCAAGACTCAACAAGGGAAATTTCCATGATGGTTCACATTCCGTGCAGTGAGTGTTTTAAGACGTTTCCCCTCTGGACCCACCTAAAAATGGCTGGGAAGAATGTATTCTCAATACACCAGTATTGTAAAAAAGTGTATATCCTTCGCCTCATTCTATTCTTCAAATAATAGCACCCGTTGGCGTAACTTTTCCTTATAAACGTATTCCAGTCATAGTCATAGAACCCGCACGATTATGTTCCTGATATCATGGTTCCCCATCGAGATGTGTTATCTTTAGCCAATAATAGTCTCCAAATAAAAAAACTGTAAAATATGAAGCTGGTGCAGAATAATATTCAGGAGACATGTATACAGTACACAAAATAATACTGGAGGTATAGACGCATGGTTCATATAATAGGGCTGTATGCTAAGCGTACATTCCACAGGCCCGTAGTCCTGGGGGGAGCGATATTTTTTAAATAATACTACACATAAATCATTATTCCTCAATTAGTCACTTTCTCCAATTAGTCGTATCTAAAACGCTATGTTATGAGGCCTCCACATGAAAGCATTCCTGCGACACTGTACATTACAAACAACATTTCCGCTAGAATCCTTGCATTGTCCATATGCAAGTATTTCTGCCTCTATTGTATTACTCCGGCAATAATACATTCGGCAAAGCTATACCGCTTGCACTTGGGCGTAATTAATGGCTTGCTGTTTTGTTTAGAATGTAGCCCTCAATTCTTCACATAATACTATTTCATAGAGATCTAGACTTATCAATGACTGGTGTCGCCCAAAGAATAGGAACCGAAAGTTGGAACACATAGCCCGCAATTCACACACTTTTGCATTCTCGATGGGCATATTGTAGGAGAATCCATATCTTTCAAAGGACGATTTTTGAGAAAATCTGTATCCCTCATACAATACTGTATTCTCAATATCATTGCACTCCACAGAATGCCACTCCTCATTTTCCCTTCTCTCTACATATCACCTGAGTGCAGGGACAATAATTTCTTTCAAATTAATGTGCTACAAGCTCTGTGTTAGTTGTAAAATATTTTCCCTTCGTTACAATAACAACATAAGCGGTAAACCTATACAATAATATTCCTGATACAGTTGTATTCTTTACCAGCATTGACACTTTAGACACATGTGTTCTGTTTATATCATCCTACCTTTCCTATAATAATACACCCAGTATATTCGTCTACTTCTTACAATGGAGTCATTTATACATTATCATCCTTGCCTGGGACGACGGATAAGGATAACGATACTGCATGCATTTCCATACACTTTAAATCATAGTACTCCTTGTACAGTAGTATTCACTTTACAATGTTATGCTTAATATATTGATACTCCGCAAACATCCCCACTATTCACAGAATAGTACTCTGGGAATATTACCAGTGGGAGCGAATAAGTAATTCTTAGACAAGACTCCTTCACGAACATTTGTACACTTGCTCAAGCGGTACTCCCCCAATCATGCACTTCCACACATTATACGGCTGTTAATATAATAACACTCCAGAAAGTGCTATGAATTCCGGAATTGGATGCTTTGCCTATAATAGAAGCCTAAACAATAAGCCATGATGTTCCACCTCTTTTAATAATTGTGCATGGGGGGTATCCAAATTCCCACCACAATTGTGCACGCCAAGACATCACACTAGGGAGATATGAGTACGCTCACAGAACAGTTTTGCTGATTATCTGTAGTTCTTATAGAACTATGCTCTTAAAAGAATCATACTCTGCAGATATCAGCATAGATCAACCATTAATACCCACATATAACAGTACTACGAGAATTTCCGCATTCGTCACCATGGGAAATGGGGACACATGTATACTTCCTTGTCATCTGCCCCTGTAGAATATGCATGCACTTCATAGAATATTACCCTACGAATAATGACACACCTGGAAAATCAGTATTCTTGACACAATAATACGGTTCACATTATAGTACCCTTGGCATAGCTCTACTGTTTAGACAATATGATTCGAGGCCAACTGTCGGATCTGCAGATTCGCCGAAGTCATATCATCCAGCCATTATACCAACATGACGACCCTTCAAATAATGTTATTCCAAGGACAGTTCTACTCATCAGGACAAACTACTCTATACATAACATTAGTCCTTTTGAACTAACAAGGCAATTCACACATCCATGTGTCCTACACAAAGGTATCCTCTATACGGAGGTACTACGGCAACTTCCACACGTTGCGTAACGGTCGCACCTCCTCATACGGCACAAAGGTAAGTCATGAATTCTGCACCTCTCCTTACTTTACTTAATAATACGGGATTAACTTTGCCACTCATCAAATGGCATCGTACCAGCCATATCAGGCATCTTTAGATATGAGTACTATACATACATCTGTAGTGTCCCGATAACAGTACTCCAAGTCATGAATACTCCTTCAGCAAATATCCTGTTCAAATGGAAGTATTATCCACACAACACTACTGTAAACAGGACGGTACT